TTGCACGTATTTATTTTTTATTTTTTTACGTCACATATTATCATAATATACTCTTAATTTATTTATATTTAAATGTATTCGTAGAGATTCAAACGTTAAACTTCAGTTAATATTTGTCGGTCGAATCCGGACGAAAGTTGTTCAATATATTTTTTTTTTCATTTATTAATTATAATTGTTTCAACAAAATGTTTGTTTTTACAATTTTTTTTTTTATACATTTACATTATTCATACATTTCTTAAAAAGCTAGAGTAATACAATTTGTACATTTGTTCAATATAATTCTGCAATTGAAAATATTTCGTTCCTGCAAGGTCTGTCAAACAATATTATTTATCGATTATTTTTTTCATAGTCTCTACCGCGGATTGTTCAAAGACATGTGTTGGTGGAGTACGAATGATGATGTCAATTAATGTGGGTTGTAACATTCATCGTTGGCAGTATGGTTTTATATGTTAGCAATATAATATGTGCTCCTCCCCCCCTTATTGTAAAATTATTCAAAAAAAATTGTTATTACAATTTTATAATCGTAATTCGTATTCTCTATTCATTATGAAATAATTTATTTTTCTGTTAGTCGTATGAATGATAAAATATTTGTGCCGTGGATTTCAGCTCACGATTCGGTATATTGTCGTTGGTCGAAAGTCAAATCGATATGTTGCAGTCAGCAGCTAACAAATAATGGATTTTATAAAATAGTCGCAAATAGTATAGGTAAGTTACCTGTATAGTAGCCATACAATGGTTATACCCTACCCACCCATACTAACGTCTCTCGATTATCCGTCAAAATAGATGTCCGGATGGGTTGTCACGCGTAGATCAAAAACATATGGTCAGGATTTTAAAAGCATATATTCGGTGACCGCCTTTTATTATATTATTGTCATCGGTCGAGCCCGTTAAGATTCCGCCGAGTTTTTCCGGCCAGACGCGTCCTATATGTGCGTATATTTGTGTCGTCGGGTATCAATCCTCTGTCGTCACACATCAGTCGGCTTCGTTCGAATATAAGACGATAGTATACTAGGTAGGTATGGTATTAAACAAACATTGGGATATAATAATACTATAAGCGGGTCTATTCCTCTCCAAAAATCAGGTACCATCTTTCTCCAAAATATATTAAATTATTTAGCCTTTCTAGCTATTTATTTTATTCGTACTAAAAATAATTTGGCAAAAAGACGATATAACAATACATAACTGTAAATAATTTAAAAATATATTTTTTTTCTAGTCAATATAATATGACTTAAATATATATTTACTGTATATTATTAATTCCCTATTGGACGAAAATGGTCAAGAGACAATCTTATATTTTGTTTTGAGGATAATGGTTAGTGGATGAAAATGGCTACTGCAGTCTATATTAGTTGCTACGCGGTGAAGCGCAAAGGATTTTCAAAGAATAAGTAGGTTTTCCGACTTTGGACCTCCAAAATTCAAAATTGTTCGTCTTGTAGAATTTTGACGCCATGGCCGCGGCATTTCGAAGAACGGGATTTGAGGAGAACGATTTGGGTTACGAATTTACGCTTGGTAACTATAAAACCGAATGTTATAATAAGCCGTGATAGTCAAAATTTTGTATTTTCACTGCGCCTATCTGACGGACTTTCGACATTGATAATTATGTCTAAATATAGGGTAATTAACGTGTAGCATACTCAACGACTGTCCGTGACGTTCGATCTTTGAGTTTTAATTTTCGATGTGTGTAGGTATACTAGCTGTTCTAGTTTTGAAATATCCAAGTCAACTGGACCGCGCATACATAGGCGGTAAGCATGTTGTTCTAATTAAAAAAGGTGAACACGCGGTAAACGTATCAATTATAAGATAGTGAATTCCTTAAAGGTTATAGGCATGTACATTAATTGTATTTATTATACTGGATCTCGTTATTATGTTTTTATTTTCTAAAACAATTCAGATAACTAAGTTAAGTACAATCTATCCTCGTGATACGTCGTAGGCCTTAGCCAGGTTAGCCTAAATTTATAACGAGATTTCGTTGAAGCATTACTTTAATTTTTGTCGACGCTACATAGTTTTTTTACGTCTGATATTTATACATGCGTGTGGCAAAAAACCCTCAGGAAATGTCGTTCGATTGTCATTAAAAGTTGAGGCAGTAGCTAGATTATTATATAGTTGTTTTTACGGCGTATAAGCGATCGAATTATACTCGAAAATATTATTGTAATTTTACTGAAAAAATTGAATAAAATATTAACTAACTCGTTTTAACATCGACCTTCGTGAAACATAATAAATATAACTGGATGGAAAAAAGTACAAAATTTGTACTTTGTGCTTTCGTAACGATTATCGTTATTTTGTGACATATTTAAAATGCTTTTAGGACTTATCAAACGTCATGATATCGTGTAGCCTGGTGCAAGTTTGGTCGTATTATTGGTTTTTTGCATTTCGTCCCGTACCTACTGTTATTTACTTTTCGGCCCGTTCGCTAATATTATATCCGTATCGGCTATCAAGTTACTCGTCGCGATGCCATGCCGAGCCTTAGGCGAATTCCCGCTCCACCGAATTCGTAATAAGACGACGAGAGACGATAGACGCCATAGTTTCCGCTCCCCCGGAGTGACATAAGATACCTGTACAAAGCAGTTCGATGGACGGGAAGCCAACCCGCTGTGGTTTTTAGCGGAGTCGTTATGTTTGGCGTATTCCTTAGGTTAGACGTTGTCTTAGATATGAAAATGTATATTCGGTTTTAACATTTTTTTAGTCACTGGTCCGTGCGCACAAAGCTGAGTATAGCTTAAGATCAAATAATGAACATAAAACACATTTGAATACAGTTCAGCTGCGTGTCAAAAACTTACCACATCGTGAATATATACACGAAACGGATTCGGATGTACCGGATGCATCCTTAATGGCCCCATCTACCACTTCGATCACCGATTATGTTGACGAAATGGTTAATTCGAATTTAAATGAATAGCATATCACAATAATAAGTTATTGTTTGATATTTTTATTTTTACATCATACCGAAAAAGATTTCGATCATTCCTTTCAAGATAATAATATTTTCTGATTAAATATTCAATTTTTTTTTGTATTTGCATAATATAATATAATACACAACGTTTATATTATAATATATTATTTATTCAAATATTTTACACTCAACTCACTACGAAACAATAGCAATATATCTACCGTTAGATTTAACACAATCGTTTTATAATAATTTCAATATTTACCTATCTGTACATTGTATAGTATCTACGAGTATGTTCGTGTATTATAGATTTGTGAGTAATTGATAAAAAATAAATTCCTACTTTCAGCACGCACATTTATAGTATATATTTCATTATATTTTAATATTTAGTAATATTATATTACCCATAGACCATCACGCAATTTACATTTTTTTTGCAGAAAATATTTTCATGGTAAATAACAGTATAATGTATGAATCTATATTATATTCCATGTTTAACATTATAGTTTGGTAAATATTTGATACTTAATTTTCAATTCATCACTCTCTTGATAATATGTACGTTAATTTTATTTTTCATTATCTGACGACCCCTGTGTTTTGTGTTCGATCGCAGGACGCGTCATTTTTACGTTATTATTATTATTTTTTCTATACCAAGATTAGCCTAAAAATGTGACGGTGGATTAAGGCCATCGTTTCCGAGCAGTGATCCTATATACTTTAATATGAATACATATTACATAGTGACGGTCCGGGTCATTATAATATAGCTTTGAGTAACTGAACTGAGTTGGCCTCAATTTTCGTGGAATTACGAAAATTTAAAAAAAAAAAAGGATAAATATATGTGAAGAAAACAAATAATAATATTAGCAACCCGGCCGTGACGACGACTGTTCACTCTGGCTAGACTAGATTATAACATTAAAATTAATTCAACTGGCGTCCAGTTTGGCCCCGCCGCCGCCGCAGACTGCACTACGAAACAATTCTAATTAAGAAATTTTACCGAACGTCGACGGCATGCAGGACGGGCGCTCTGCCGAATATTATAATATAATATCATTATATTATTATTATATATTCTCGTTCGGCCGTCGACGGACGGCTGTCCGTCCGTCCGTCGGCACCCGTCACATTCCGTCGAAATATTTCCCATACGTCCGATTCGGGTTCCTTAACTCGTTTTCTCACGGGGTGTCGGTGAGAGGGGAGGAGGGTTAGCGAAAGGAGCCGCGGCAAATGCGTCTCGTAAATCACTCAACGGTCTAACGAAAAAAATAAAATAAAATAAAATACCGAACCAAACAAACGGAGAAATAACAAAATAATAATAAAAAAAATGTCCACTCTCGGCGGAGGTTGACACAATGTGCACATAGCCCTGACCGGTGCCAAAACTACGACAATGGTGCCAAAGAAAATATAAAATTACTTCTAATTATTTTTAATATACTGGCCAATAAAAACGACGTCCACTGCGGCGACCGCGCGGGGGTGTGTATATGTGTATGGGATGTTGGCCAATTTGTTGTTCGGTCCGCAAAATGATTGATCGCCCCGCGTGCTCAGTTTCTCGCAATATGTAATATGGTCACTCGTCATAATATATTATTAAGAAGTATACGCGTGACGTGCATTTGGTTTCATATTATACTATTATTATTGTGTGCACACGCGTCTGTAGGTGTGCTCTGCCGATGCCGGTAAATCACTGCAGTGGTGTAAATGTGCCCAAGCAAAGGGATGGTAATTGCAACCTCGCGCGCGGTATTTCGAAGAAAACCGAAAAAAACGTTGCTCATGACTCGTGAGTGTCGTGATCTAGCTATAGAGAGGCTCCGATCGAGATTTTAAGGGCTGGTGAGGCATGTGGTGGAGCTTATGGGTATAATCTATAATAAGCGATATCTGGGACTAGGCGGGACTGAAACTCATTACCGGCCCATGCAATGTGTAATAATAAACGTGTTATTATTATATGTTTTTCACGCAGGCGATATTGTTTTACACGCCCAGATGGCTGTGGAAACACTGGGAGGGTGGCAAAATCCGGGCGCTCATGATGGATCTGGACGTGGCCATTTGCACGGACGCCGAGAAGAAGCAGAAGAAAAAAATCCTGCTCGACTACCTGTGGGAGAACCTGCGGTACCACAACTGGTGGACCTACAGGTACTACCTGTGCGAAACGATGGCGCTCATGAACGTCGTGGGTAAGTCTCGTGTAGATTATTATATGGTATTAAACGTACCTCGTTTATCATTGTAACATTCCTATACGTGCACGACGTGTCACCGAGTTTTTCCCGACTCCCGGCTGATAACTTATTTTCAGTTAAAGGTAATAATACGTTTCTATTCATTTTTGTGATTATTAAAATTTCTCCAAAAAGTATAAAAAAGGTTTGATGCAAAATAATTCTAATAAAAAATATAATGTGTCATCATTATTGTGCATGTTTATACCTAAATAATATAATATGTACTAGCTGTAGGTATGTATGTAAATAAATTAAACCTTTAAACTGATGTGCAATTTTATCTAATGTCAAACTTAAGGACATTTCACATTGCCTTATTTTATATGCTCGTTTAATAGTCACAATAACATATACATAATTATTAAAAACAATATTATTTGCAATTATTGGTCTCAAAAACCTTAAAAAATCTAGGATGGAAAATAAAGTAGATTTTTATCAAAAAAACGTAACAGTACAATATTCCTCGGAAATTGTTTGTTTTTATTTTCAAAATCACAGACATCGACTACGCAAATTAGTGTAGCGGTTCATAAATGGATTACTGGATTGCTCTGTAGTCTGTATAATAAACATAAATATATATTTATAAATATATTATATATCTACCTACGATAGTCTACTGACGACGACCACCTGTCCAATCCGGGTGCGTGGGAAAACGTGATTTCGGCCCACTGTCACATAATCTCATCGTCCGGGGTCCGGGACGTACGACTGCCGATAGAGTCGCTACAAAACGAGCGATTTTTTAATTTTACGCGTTCTGCGATGGATGATTTTCTATTCTAACGCCAACATTTTTTATACGTAATGCAAATTGTCCAAAAATTATAAAAAATATACTGAACGAATCGTTGAACTAAATCGATAATTTTTGACTAGATTATAGTTATAAAATGTTGCACCATAATAATAAACATGTTTCAGAAATAGTAACTAAAAAAATTGTTTCCGAGCAAACGGTCGTCGTGAAATATTGTTCTACGTCTCGATAATTGCATAAAATTTCATAGTTTCACTTTTTCACAATGACGACAAGTGATGCCGGCGGCCACGACGAATGTAGCGTACTTACTAAAAACCGACGGAATAAACTTCAACAGTGTATGCAATTATTGAACTATTGAAACTGTCAAAAAATATATCCGTTGAGTATTGTATCAAAGAATTATTATACGGGCACGTGAATGCGGCTGATATCTTAACATAATTTTTTATTAGATTACGCGTGAAAAATCTTTGTAAACGATGTACCTACAACTGGTGTTATGTCGCTGTGATAACAATAACAGTGTCATTGGCTTTTTGAAAAATAAAAATCTGACGGTAATTATTACAATAGCAATATCCACACAATATGCTCGTATAGTCGTATAATATCTGTGACAATGTAATATTTGAAAATCACATCCGAAACGCGTCGTTTTCTTACGACAATGGTAATCGTCTATATCGGCGGCGGCGTCGGTGCAACCAATTGGGTCGCGACGACGTTTACAATGTGTATATAGGTATAATGTACAAAAACGACAACGAATTTTCACGAATAATTGTATTTTACAATATCGTGCGGCGGCTGCAGCAGGGCTCGGAACCGATTTCTGGGTGTACATTAACTGTTGTGTCAAAACAGAATTAGCGGTCAACATTAGTAATTGGATATTTTTTTTTACCACTCGTTTTGCGCCCGACCGGTGTCGTAATTGCGCCCAATTAACGGGCACTGCAGCTCTAGTCAGACTAATCTCTTATAAAATTGGTACCCGTCGCAATCCGTGCTTATTGTGCATATATATATATATATATATATATATATATATATATATTATTTATATACAACCGACCGTTATTATACGTACCCGAGCACTGCAGTATAATTCCCGCCGACGGCCATTTAGCGGTTGTTTTGCCGTCTTGTCACTATTGTTATACAACAACACAATAAATTATATTATATCTGCGCGATAATGGAAAGATGCGATTCAACGAGACGGCGTGGCGGCGTCCTCTATAGCATTTCTTCACGAACTTGTGCTCTTCTGATTGCATGCCATAAAAAGAACCAAAAGACGGTCTCACATGTTTGTACAACATACATAATATGACTATATGATATGATCATTATGAATAATTATTATACAATAGTAGGAACCTAACGTATTTCTTGGGGGGGGGTTAGGAGTCCGCAGAGTTTGAAATGATGTACCCAACAAGGTTCTTCGTTGGTATATTAATATTTGTGCATTTTTTTGCTGTGCATTATATTATTTTATATCGTAGATTCTAAAGACTCTGATCACTTTTGTTAAACTGACACCAAAGACATATCTCACATAATTGCTTTTGCGCTTAAGCTATATCGAGCATAATATATTTAAATATTTTTGTTTCCGCATACCTACGTGATTGATCTTAAGTGTTGATGGCATTATTGTCAACATTTATAATATTTGCCTATCACGTTTAAAACATTAATTAATTAATATTTACTAAAAACTTGAATAGTTGAATCCTTATTATGCTTGGCTCAGAGCTCTATACAATTTGTCTCAAAGCTAAATAAATATGATTTATGGAGGAACAAATGATTTGATTGTTTCTCAGTTTGCAACCACACCTATATGTTACAACGTTAACCCAAAACTTCTGTTTTTATCTATTACAATATTTAAAATTATAGGAATTTAAGATTGTTCACTTTTTTTGAGAGATTTTCTTGCAGGTTAATAATGTTTAGATAAAAATGTATATTATTTATGACGCTTTGCCCAGTTCCTGACACTCGCAGCTGATAATAATGTATTGCGATATTTATTTTAAAAAATCCAAAGAATTTCGATGATATAGGTATATGGTGTGTATATTATAAAATATGTTTTCTATTAAAAGAATATTTGATTTATTCAAATTACTGAAATTATTTTAGTTTTTATTATTATTATCATTATGGTTTATGGTCGTAACCACGCGCGTAGTCCTGAAACCAAGCTGTAAAATTATTTTTGTAAACTTCAATGTTACATAAATAAAATTAGTTTATATTCATATTATTAAATATGAATGATTGCATTTAAAACGCTATAAACATTACATATTATACCTACTCTTTAGTTTGCCTGTTAAGTTAATTATTTCAAACTCATTTGCGTTGAGAAAAGTGCTCTATATATTTGATGACATATATTTACCGTGTACATTATCCAAGTTTGAGATTTAAATTGTGTGTTTTGTTTTGAAATATTATGAATTTGTGCCAAATATAATATTGTTTTATTCATCACTTGTGTAATGTATAATAGTATTATAATATACAATTTATTACCCTGAGTCAACAATATTATGTTATGTCAAGAATTAATCACTGAACAATTAAAAATATAAAACTAAATAGTTAATTGTTGTTTTATGGCATGTCTACGTAGACAACTATGAAACTAAATATGTCAAATTTTTAAGAACATTTTTTTTTTGACGACGACAGGTCAAATGTTCATGATGAACCGTTTCTTCGACGGTGCGTTTCTGACTTTCGGCATAGACGTGATCCGGTTTTTGGAAAGTGACCAGGAAGACCGAGTGGACCCGATGATATTCATATTTCCCAGGATGACCAAATGCATTTTCCACAAATTTGGAGTGTCCGGTGAGGTGGAGACACACGACTCCATATGCATACTGCCGTTAAACGCCGTCAACGAAAAGATCTACGTTTTCCTGTGGTTTTGGTTCATGATCCTGGGCGTCTTGTCGGCGGCCGTTATCGTTTACAGGTATTGATATACGTACTCGTCGGTGTCCTAAAATGTTTACCGCTAAAAATATTTATTGATCTCTTCACAGTGTGTTCGCTTTAGAGAAATAAAGCTGACAGTAAATAACTATAATATTATGCTCTACAATTGCGGGGGAGGGTCGTCTGCAGAGGCTTTTATGGGTAGAATAAAATTATGAAATTACAGTCATGTCTCGATAACTAAAATTTTTTTTGGCCCATTTGTGTTATATGTATATAACTTGAAAAATACGTAAGTTGAATTTATTTTTATTCCTCTTGAGATTCGATTTATCGAGACTCAACGTATATTATATAGCGATCGACGCTACTGCTGCAGCTAGGACTCGTGTAGTGATTGGTATACGCATGTTTAGGGTACATAGTATATTGATATAATATTGTGTTGTTCAATAATCAATATTTTCGCACCGAAATTGAAAACTGTTTTATTTTGTACATAGTTTCATTACATTATTATAACATGTTGTTTCTTTGTACCAACGAGAAAAGACATTTTTTAGACAATAAGATGAAAAAAAAATCACTGGATGATGAAATGATTTGAAAATGTTCGGAAGATAAATTTTTTTCCCTTAAATTCGTTAATCGGACAACACAATAATATACGATTGACCAAATAACTTTTAGATTCTACACAGTAGGTACAATAATATATTATTATAGTCACTATAATAGATACCGGATTTCATTGAATCGGATGTTAGACGATCTGCAGGGTTCTTTAGTATCAGTATAAAATGTTTTCTACGTTCTGCAGGTATACATTCCACATAGGATTTTATAGACCGTTGTAATTTATTTATTACGATTAAAGATTTAATAGTAAAATATAAAATGCTGCCATATAAAAGACATCGGTATAAGTATACAATAGAAGGTTTAACTACAAGTAGAACATAAAACAAAATACACAATCGAGTCACACAAAAGTTGATCCCAACAATAAACCGATAACAAAAAATGTCAACTTATTACGCACAAGATCATTCCTGTATGCAATAGCATTAATTTAAAAATTTTGATTCAAGTGTAACATAATAATTAATACGATATAACTGCATTGCAGGGATCTCGATGATCTAGTCTATATGTATACTAATTATTGGTTCATTTTTGAAATTTTTAAACTGTACTTAACCTATATTGTTTGGGCTTGTTAACAGACGATGTACAGGTATGTAGCTTGGTTGTAGTTTGTGTATATATTTTCAGCTTATATATTCTTACCAGTAACCGAATAAACAAAAATAAATTACCATTGTAGGTTTGTTTATGTGTCTTAAACTGAAAAGATAAATCTTCGAGAAAATAATATATTGTACGCGACTCTTCGGAGCGTATCCATCCGAAAGCTGTGATAATTAGATTAGCATTCATTTTCTTTTACTTCGTTAACGAAGCTGCACGCTAGGAAATGTGTAGCTATAGTATATACGTATAATTTGTTGGGCTATAGAAGGCAATGATTAATATAGCAGACGCTGTTTTCTCCTGTTATAAGAAAAACACATCAACCGATGACTTATTGTTTTTACGTCGACCGCGGTGCGAATAAAACTCTTGACGCGAAAAAGAAAATAATACTATTAAAATACTCACGAGTTTTTAAATAAAACAAATATCGAGCATTCGTAATAGTAACAAAAATAATATTGTATATTTTACAATATAATATATAATATGACGTCATAGAGAAATTTCCGTTTTGTTTAGTCCCAGCGAGCTTGTCATTAATTATACGTCTCTAATACCAGCGGGAGAATATTATAATATTAATATAATATGGTATCGCAACGGTATGATATTATAATATATACCAGTATTGCGGTGAACTATAATATATACCAGTAGGTACCTATACTGCGGTGAACTGTGCTTTGATCTCGTATATGTCAGATGTAAGAGAGTATAATTTAATTTTTATGACGTGTACACAGTATAGATATTAATACTGCAGGAACACATTTCAGTATGATAAAAAAAAAATTCGAAAATACATTTCAATTTTTTCGGTTAAACTGTGTTTTGACTTTTCGTCTCCACTTCTTCAACGTTAATAACAATAACGTAATACATAGATGAGTCTCGAACGATTTGATTTTGGTCATTAACCTATTTTTGTGGTGAATATGAATTTTGATACATTTTATAGACAGTTCGTACATCGTCGTCTGAGGCATACGTTAGACAACTAGTCATGTAAATTTTTTCTTGAATATCCTAAGAAAATTATTTTTATTTATTTTTAGATTCATCATAATAGTGTCACCGCGAATGCGCGTGTATCTTTTCTGCATACGATTCCGGTTGATCAAACGGCAAGCCATCGGCAACATCGTGCGCCGGTCGAAGCTGGGCGATTGGATGCTGCTGTACGTACTCGGTGACAACGTCGACTCGGTCGTGTTCAGAGATATCGTGCACGATTTGTCGCACCGACTGGAAGCGTACCACAACAAAAACTCGACGGTCAGGACGGTGGATGCGTGACGGCGGCGGTGGCGGCTTGCAGTCAACAGTATTTTGTGCTCAAATCGATAACGAACAAACGTATAATATTATTTGGTCAGTATAGTATAATGCAATATATTATTATTATATTATGTATAGGGAGGAAGCGGTATTTTTGTCTTGTGAGTTTGAATAAAAATCGTGGTAAATGATAATTGTTCGTCTTCGGAGATATATTTTTTATGTTTACTGATGTTTCTGCTTTTACTCTTGCCCCACTCTTTGCAGCAGTGGTTGTCTCCCATAATAATCACTGCAGTTGGTTTTTGGGCTTTTACAAATATCGTCTAATTTAAATACTCGGGTTTCCGTTTTGAGGAGATATCATACCTATATACCATTATATTTGCTATTTTGCTATAATTCTGGTTTTTATAATCCCAAAATAATGTCCTCATCTTCTTATACTAGCTGACACTGCGATACGTGATGCCGTGATGGGGACCGCAGCCAAACACATAATAATATTTACAAGACTGCAAGATATTATTAGCGCAACGCTCACCTCCATAATAAATCCAGTTCATCGTATTATTATATTAAACTGATTTATTTTGCTCACCTGTTCTACTATATCAAACATTTTAAACCACCTATGAAATAACTGGTGTGTATGACACGTGTTCGTAAGTATGCTTGGCTTTCGGCACCTTTGACTAAAACAATTCTATTCGAGTGCGCAGTCGTCATGCAGTTTGATAGAAAGCGCTGGTTAAAGTACCTATTTTATTGTTTTATAACATTCGGTTTCGTCTGATGACGGAAATATCCGACCAAAATTGATAATAATAAAAACGAAATCCAGACTATTAAATTTTGATTTTTACCACAATTTGGCTGGATTTAATATTCCTCGCTGTATATACCTACTTAAGTTTATTCGTATACACCTAAGACTTGGCAGGGAATGACGAGTGTTAGTTTTTTTCCTTTGTTATTTGTTTGTCTCGAGCTCATTGTGTTCCTTCTACCGATAGTGTTTATTCAAGCCGGAGCTGAATAAGGGTTTATTAATAGATCTAACAATAATAATAGTATAAAAAAAAGTTTGACCGAAATTTCACGTTTTATTTTTGCCTCAGTCTAAATTTGATGTCTCCTGGATCATCTTTTGTATTATACAGGGGTATATTGTATAATAATATGTAGTTACATTCCTTTTTTACCCACAGTTCATTGTTTTCATGTATGTATACGTTAACTTAAAATTGAATTGTTTGTTCTTTTTATTACGTAACGTAATAAATATATGTCTTTCATTTTCTTTGTTTAATCATGTCAATAATGAGTAAATAGTTTTTTCTTCGACATTGACAGCCAATAAATTAACAGCTTTACGATTATATCCTTTTTTGATATTGTGACGTTACGGACGTACCTACAGCTAAACCTATTATATCATAGTAGTAGTCTATAACACACTCGGAGATTTCAAAATGCTGTGAATTGCTTACATTTATGCATCTACTACGATCACGCCCTTGCACAATCGTCAATCACACGTCTTACAGATGTTATTTTTTTTTTGTCATCAAACAATGATATTTTTCACAGGACGTTTTATTATTTTATTTTGCTACAGTATTAAATTCAATATAAAAAAAATAACAATGTCCATGCTCGGAAACCAAGCTTTTCAAGACATTCTTAACCTATACCCGTATCTCTATAATTTCTAGAGCGAAGTCTCTGTATTATTTTCCACCGTTTCTATAATATGACACCTGTGTAGTGTAAGTCACAAACCCCTAGATTTTATTATTGGTACTTACAGCGAAGAAGTTTATAATCTCAGACGACTCGAAGGCCATAGGCACAGTTTTTCCTCACATCAGTAAAACAATTTATTGATCGGTAGAATTTTAGCCTTGTCGACTTCGCGGAGTAGGGCGACTAGTGGGCAGTCAACGAGTGTGCATATAAAGGACAAAATATATTGTCAGCCCCTGGGCTCTGCTGAGAGCGTATATTATTGTGTTCACGGTTTACAAATATAATAATGACAATATGTCGCTTTCATTGTTTTCAAAATATTTTTGTCTCATGATTTCTCCTCGAACTTTACTATACCTCGCGGTCATCTAACCATAAGGTTTTCAAGGGTTCAAGCAACAAACCGGTTTTATAGGAGGTATCGTTATTTCGCTCAAATGCCGAGTGTGTCCACAGACGCTTGTTTGTAGGTGTATCGTAACAATAGTCCAAGGACCGAACCACCACATTCCTCAATAATTATTTATTATACTACCGAGCCGGCGTGAATAAATGTATATCTGCGGACATAGGAGTTTTTACAGTAGACAGATATTGACGTCGGACGGCGTTCGATTCAAAGCAAACACGTTTAGTATATACAGATGTATCTATGTATAATAGACGCACGTAACATTTGGTTGAGCAATATATATCGTTAAGCATCAATTTATTTTTTCGAATTGTTGAAGTATATTTTTTTCCTTTCCTCACATGTGTGTAAATAATTGTTATTGTGATAAAAATTAATAAGATTACATAACATAATTATAATATTTGTACTAACAGTCAAGTGCAGGCGTCGCGAAGACTTTGCCTTTACAGGCGGTCTCTATCCATTAACTAAAACCCATACAACATTATATAATGTATCGTCGTAAGAAAAGTTTTATTCCTTTTCGTCAAAAATACAATTTTTTTACCATCTCGAAAAGCCATTTAATATTTTTCATTATACTCAGAACATATACGACAATATTAAAACGAACCATTTGGCTGTCCATCCGACATTTTAAAGCTGTGAAAATACAGGGTATTTTTTGCAATTTGTCAACACTCCACTTGTCATTGTGCATCGAAAGTCGTCCTTCACCCGCGATGTAAGTTTTGTTCACGGCTAGGTATCATGATGTGAAAATAGGATATATTTTGTTTGGTAGTGTGCTGCTGGTTTATACCTTTAATATGCACTGTGCGTTTTTATTTTCACTCTGGATTCGTTTAGTCTAAAGATTAATATACAGTATACAGTATAAGCAGAAAGCTAGAGACTTGACCGAATGACCGTGATTGATGGAAAAAAAGTGTGCCGGACTGTATTTAAATTTTAAACCCAATGTTGTTATTGTACTTGGTTAAACGAGTAATTAGGGTAACCTCATCAAGGTCTGATAACCAAAATCGACTCTTGTGTGTGTGTGTGCATAATATACGTACATATAGCGATTAACAGCGCGTTGCATTCGAACGAATAACTTAACCGCTCCGATGCAACAGGTGGTTTTTCGTCTTCTTTCTACGTACTTACGATATGTAATGTGCGTATAGGAGCAAAAAAAAAAATGGACCGTAACGAGCGGTTATTATAGTGCAATACAAATTCGTATTTTCGTAATAAATACATATTCATAGATAACTAAATATTTTGACACGAAAAATATGTCTTTTAGCTAGGGAGGGGGGAGGGTATCTATCTGAAATTCGTAAGACAACTTGTTATTGTTTCTACAGAGTATGCGTTTAACACTTGTAGCTACGATAATAATCATACAAAATGATTATTTTAAGTGCAGTGAATATAGGGTACCTATACTATTGACTCCAAAAATTATTACATTGTACCACATACATTTCTTAAATTTATGAGATAGAATGTCTTACTGTTTATAACGTACATAGTCGTGATAATTGCTCAAAGCAGTTTACATTACTTTAATCCATCAACATGATTAGATAAATACGATATTTATTAACAGGCTTATAAATAATAGTATAGAGTATATAGACAATTTATTTTCCTCAATGTTCAATGTTCGTAACTAAAATTGTAATTGCGTGACGAGATTTTCGGTATATTATATGAAAACAAAAGTGAGGGCCACCGTTAGAATAACATAAAATAAAATCATCGGGATAAAAAAAAATAAATAGAGAAAACACAAAACGATCCAGTAAGAAAAAAACTGATGAAAAAATGCGTACTTCATGAAAAAAAAAATCACAAATTGTGAATACATTTAAATGTATGTATCCCAATCGACAGTCGTTTCGGGAAGGAATGACTGGAAGTCGTCCAACCGCAGTTGTGGTCTAGGTATATAACTCGTCTCGTCAAATAGCGTTTTTCCCCGGCGACGACGACACGTCATTATTACTTTGTCAGTTTTCTAAACAGTTTGTACAACTTTACTGTTACGGCGTTACACTCGGGTCTATAATTTTTATTATTATATTACATTATAATATACGACGTCCGCTGTTGTGGAAACGATCTGGTATTTTAGCGACTTTGCCATTGCAGCACGATCGGAACTGGCACCGGTTGCGCGAAAAAAGTTATTTTTGAGCGAGTATCGCGATTAGCGGGTCGATTTCAGCGTTTACGATCGTGCCATTAATGAACGGTTTTTTATTGTCATAATATATACAGTTATTCACGAAACTGAGCTTTTTGATGTTTGGGCGTTTAAATAATAATAAAACGATTTTTTCACTTGGAACGCCATCAATGACACACGCTCACACACACACACACACACACACACACACACACACACACACATACGATGTGTATATATGTACATCAGGCGTTTCGTCTTATAAACACGTTTCCGGAACAACACACGCCCCGCGCAAACGGAAACGATTATTCGAATTTGTTTAACGTTTTCCCGGAATAACGCTTTAGGCACGGTGTCCATTAGCGATTTCTCGCACAGAGACCCTTATGTTTCTGTACAGAATATCTTTGGTCGAGCTGAAATGTATGGCCGTATGGATATTATAAATATAATAATGTGTGAGGTTACCATATGTGGTTAGAATTTTCTCCCGTCAGCTGGTACGATCATGCGGGAAACGATATCGCGAGCGTGCATAATATACGTGACATTAATAACAATATCGTTTTGCTTCGATTTTTACGACGACTGTTTGCGATTATTTTTCTTCAGCAGAACTAAAATATATCTAACCACTAACCGCTGGATTTTTTTTCTCAATCGACTTAGGCTCTTCTAATTTATAATTTAATTATTAGCTTTACCAATTAACACTTTTATACTCAATGACATCCACCGATATCGTTGAAAATCGTTTCAACTTCAGTTAACATAACTAATAAGTATTGAGTACAGTACCCACTGGCCTACTATAGCTACACTTTCTTATACTAAGTACCTCTGTATAAACTAAATTTCAAATGATTTAGATTTTTAAACTCTATAATAATATATTATATAGGTACAACGTTTATTCTGTTCATCATCATCGAATTGTATCGGTTGGGTTATGATAATTTTTATAATAATATATTGTCCGAGTGGCCAGGAGTATAGATTACGGCTAAAATAAATCGAAATTTAAGGTTTATAAATATATAAAATAGGATTTGATTATCGTCCAAAATTTGACCGGCAATTTATTACCGTTTTCTCGGAAGCTACAGGGGGAACTAGAACGAATAAGGCGATCTCCTAAAACAAAGTTCTCCTCGACTATACGTCGTCCATCATGTGGCTGTTTCACCATTACCAGAACATATTTTTTTTTAACGATTCTCATTTATATCCTTTCGACCGTTGCCCACTCGATGTACATAATATCTTATGCACATAATATAATATTAAGCCGAGGCTTGTTTCAGTTAATATTTTAACACGTTTGGTAGGCACTCCTCAATCGGACGTTCGTCATTTATATCATATAAGTACCACTGCAGTATTGGCGGTAACCTGAAGATCCAACTTGAGTGTAAATTACATACTTGTACTTAATACTTATCAGTGGATTGGCTAATGATAATTTTGCCACCCTACACTTACCCGTTAGCTATTTTTTTGAATTATTATTTTCGTCACCTGAAACTGCCGTAGTGCCGTCGTCGGCGTACTCTCGTCGTATATGATAATATATATAGAATTCCGTTTTTGGAATATTGTTCTAGAATAATACTGTATCACCGTATACCTATATAGTATATACTATTATTATTATTTATTATGTTTATAATACGTATTGTCGTCGGATTTTTTTTCAAACGAATTTGCCGCTGTTTTAATTTCACTTCCTAGTTTGAGCTTCATTATTCTTTTTAAACATTATTATATTGTTGCCGCTCCTGAATATAACAGTCGATGCGCATAGAAATGTGACAAACGTGTAGATATTCTACGATATTACAATGGATCCATCGCAGGAGATTGCTGCTTTGGTTCGGCGTTTGTGAATACCGTTTTTTTTAGGGGAAAATTTAATAATATTTTAATAATAAAAAATAAACCGAACGATCGAATGGAAATCCATTCATCGCAATGTCACGTGTATAAAAAAAAAAACTTGTTCACCTTTTTCGTATAATAACACCTTCCCTTAGGTATGTACATTAATTAGTTATCATATTACCGTCGTATACATTTTGTAGTTTGATTTTGTTGTCTGAGGAAAAACCATAATACCATATTGTGTTGAGTCTGATTAAGTAGAGTAGATATAAAATCTAACGAGGCTTTTCAATGATGCGTTTGCACATAAACAATATTAAGAATGGTTAATATTCGTCCACCGATCGCAGTACTCTGCTATGAGTTGTGTATATAAAAAAACATGATGACAAAAATACCACGGGTTTTGAACTTAATTCGTTTTATTGCTGCACTTCTTGCAGGGATCAGCGCTTATTTATTTATGAATAGTATATTTACCACATAATTTCACGCCGTGCTCCCGAGTTATTATTATTCTTCCAGAGATATCACCACCCCGCACAAATGGTTATAGTTCTATGAGCTATAATATATTATTATATACGTGTGACTTGAAAATTTGAAACGACGACGGTGATGGTCGCATCGCTGGCGGAGAGAGTATATAATATATATATATACTACAAACATAATTAGGTACGACATAGTATAATATGTATCATAATAATAATTCCGCTCACTACGAATTTATTCTGTCGTCCGTCCGATGCGGCGCGGTGCAGTGGAATTCTACTTGCTTGCTTTCCCCGGCGTCTATATTTAATCCGATGACACTATATGTGTATAGGAAATTGTTTAATGGTCCACTATAATATTATGGTGCAGCATGTTTATTGTTTGGTTTTTATAGTCGTCTAATAACGGCCACATGGCTCTAGACATTGCGTCACAAATCGTGTATAATAATATCAATTAAGGTAATCAAACGATGAATCGACCGTGCCTGGGCTTCAGTACGAGAATAATAATATTGTGCTCTTCGAACAATTTAGAGACTCCGAACGGCAACTGCATCAGTGTCTTATTAGAATACCGAAATACTCGTTACTCGTACATTATTAATGTTGTGTGCACTGTACAGCGTTGAATACATAATACAAGACATTTGTCAAATGTTGTTACAGTACATTATTATTGGTAGGTGTACACCGAAAGTTAAGACTGGGTGAATGATAATTTCGTGTACATAAATATTATATATTACTTAATATTATATGGATGCAGAGAACGTATAAAATCGTGTCCTAGGAGCGAGAAAATAAAATTTCGACGATGAGTCGACGTCATACATTTATTATGCAGTATAGTTAATTTTTGTTTATTTTACAACTCTCTCGGGAAAGAAACCACACATTTTTTTATAATACATAATAATATTACTGTATTTTATTAATACGATGTAATAATAAACGAACCGTAGGGGGTCGGGGAACGATTATCACAGATATAGATAGATGATAGGTATATATATAGGTATATGCAGTAAAGCGACCTTCGAAAAAAGTAAAAGCGAACGTTGCTCAACAGCTATGTATAGTAATATGAACCTACTACCACAGGTATGGTATTTGGTATATTATAATATATTGTACTATTATAAAACTATGTAGATCGGCCGCCGCCCGTGCAGTCTTCGCGTGTTTTGTGGGATCGAGTGTGACGGTTTACGATGACATAAAAACGAAAAAAATCCGAAAAGATGTATTTGGATTATGCAAGGCGTGTTTGAAAACTAAGGAAAGACGATTTTTAATTTTTTTTTTATTACGTTCCACGGTATAAAAATCCGATTATAACGCGTATAAAAGTGCGTCTAATATATATATATATATATATATATATGTTTATGACTTACAATGTGCAGGGTTATATTATTATTATATTATATTGTGTACACGGACAACCCGCGGGGTGATAATAAAAGATAGAAAAGATGATGTTATAATAAATCAGACGATTCACAAATCACAAAAATTATAATAATAATAATAATAATACTGCAGCTTGTAATCTTTGGATTTGTCGGAAGTCTTTGAAAAACCACATAATCATTTATTTATGAAACTGTTGTAACGTTTTGTTGTTGTTATAATTTTTATTATTATTATTATTATTATTATGTTCTATAGTTACAGGGTAAACGATGACCGACTTGCACGCGACTTTATTGTAAGACGACTGTAAACGGATTTCGTCTGCAACGGTTGCGGAGGAGAAGACTATGTTATTATTATAATAATATGTATGGAACGGTGCAGCTGCCATGTTACCAGTTGTCTCGGAAAACAAATGTCGTCGGACTTGGAACTAACAAACGCGCTCACTACGAATTCGTGAATTGTCGCCCAAACGAATTGTTAAAAAAAATATATATTTGTAATTTTTTGGTTTTTGAGTTTTTGTCGTCGAAACAAAATGAAAACGGCTATGATTCAACAAAAGACGTTTTGTAATTTTTTTTAGATAAATCTCCCAAAATGGCTCATAGCTTATAAATATTATTAATATGTTAATTGTAATTATTAATATTATGCCTATTTATGGTTATTAGACGTATCTCACCAAGTATGATTAAAAATTGTACCTACTAAGGTTTAATTATATTATGATAAAATAAAAATACTATTCTAAAAGAAGACAATAGCAAATATTAATTTAAATGCAAATATTATATGTAAAATATATTATTATACTCAAGTATACTGATGTTCATTTTGGTTGTGCTTAAGGAAAGTTTTTTTAATCCTCAAAAATGTACTATATTTTGTGATTAAACCCACACATGTAGATTTTCAAAATTTAACATTTTTTAAGACTTAGAAAAAAAATACTTTCCGACTATAGAATTTAAATACTTCAATATAGGTATCATGTGTCATTCTTAAATAAAAACTTAATTTATACATTTATTTTGGTCATAAAAGAAATATGTATATATATATATATATATATTTATGTCTATCTGTTTGTATTTTATTATAAGTTATTTAGATTCAGACTGTCATGTCATTATTTTCATACCATATTAAATACAGAATTATTTCTGCAGTTTCAAAATAGAACCTATAAAACCTATAGAACCTGCAAAACTCAGAACCTACTAAACCCACAAAACTTCTTCTAAAACATCGTTTCTGAGTCACTGAAAAATTAAATAAGGGTTCTAGCTCCATTATTTTCAAAATACTACAGTTGTAATACCTACCAGTTAGTATCAGTTGAGTTGATGAAAATTTTTGAAAATCACATGAAATCAAAACCTCATATTCAGTGATTTTTCAATAATATTCCAATCGTTATCCTAACTAATTTTGAAGATGTTTGTTTCAGATTGAGATAAGTTCTTTCTTGTCTTAAATTATAATTTAAAAAAAAAAAACACTTTTTTCACTTTCACTAATGAACCTTAATAATGACAAAACATATTACTATAGTACGAGCTTTTGCAAAGTTTAAATTTATATATATATATGTGTATTGAATACATCTTATGATCTTACTTTGAGACCAAAATAAATGTGTACATTATGTTTATATTTTAGATATAAGGACATAATATTATAATATTTAGTCGATTATCACTTGTTATGTTTTGTTTTGTAAGTCTCAAGAAAGTAATGTTGTTAATACCATATTATAATTAACCATTATAAAATACCGATGAATCTGCGAACTCCGAGTCTTGTCTTTTTAAAAACAGATTCAGTAGGTATAAGTACTTACTTAACCTCAATTCGATCACTCGACAAACCTAAACACGGGCTTACGAAATCGTGAAAATTCCAGCAGTCCCTGCAGCGTCTCTCCTCGGATGTGTACATGTAATATGTTATTATAGACATGTTGTTATATAGACTACATATTGTAAATGTGTGTGTGTTTACATATGCAAATACGGCACTTAATGACGGTAATAATAATTACAGGTGGTGACCGTTGCAAACCATATTATGTGTAACGCGCGTGTAAATATAATGGGACGTGGATAATAAATCGTGACAATATCGAGCTGAGTTTCGCCTGCGCACAATAAATCGTGATCGTTAATAACCGTAATATTATTATTATTTATTTGTCGTCGCGTGTGTGTATAATAATTATAATAGCATTGATAATAGGCACATGTTATTAAACGGTGGCCGAAGACGACGCAAACGCGTTGTGCAACGATTACAATAATAACATAAACATAGTTATAAGTATACCTATTATTGTCTATAAATTATCATAATGCGTGTTCGTACTTCGTATGCACGGGGGCTGGTTGTCACTTGTCTCCACTCTCAAAGCTGTGATAGTGTGTCTGAGCCGATAATTTTTTCCTCGTTGAAATTTTCGAATTATGATTTTGTTTTGGTTTTTTCTAAACCATTGAGTCGTCCGAACTTATTTACGATTTAACAATATTTACTCAAATTACAGATACGCTGCTAAACGCATTCGTGGTCTGGAACTCGATGAGAACGGACGCCTGACGAACGGTCACGACTAAATCAAATTGTAATAGTGTTATAGTTATAATATTAAGGATGAATCATAATATACACTTTCATCGAATCCCCCTTGTGTGTATTTAACAAGATGTGTTTTGTCATAGTAAAATTTGAATTATTCTTAAACACTCGTACTTATTTGTTTTTATTCCATCGATATTTGAAACTCAACTGTCAAAAATTTATATTTTTATATTTATTTAAATACAATTTTAAAATTATTTGTGTAAAAAACAATTACCAAAAAAATAATATATGTTTTAATGGTACATATATAAAATAAGCCATTGTAGCGGACCACTGGCTTAGAATTTTAAATTTAATTTGCTTATTTTTTCACTGATCAGGCGGCAACGAGAGATAATCTTCCTGATGAGGAATTTTCTGAATAATTCGCATAACATAAATTGTTAATAACTCTGGTGCCATTTATAGCTGAGCGAATGCCATACCATAACCAAAACCCCTTCCATTACATGCTTCGTTAAATAATAGTATAACAATGATCTGCAGATAGCCGTTCAATAACCGTAAAAGACCATCCAATTATTATTGCTAAAATATTGACGAAAACATCGACGGACGGGATGATGACTTATACTATAGTCTATTATGTACTATTTTTTTATTAACAAATTTTAACATTTGAATTTAAACTATTGATATAATATAAGATGCTCCTAAAGCCAACATATGGACGTATGAGATATTGGCCGGATTCAACTTTGGGGATCGGCTAAGAATTCAAATTTAAACAAGATTCAAGCATTCCAAAATATCACACTTCGCAAGATTACAAATAATGTCCGCTCTTTGAGTAAGAACAAATCCGACCTTACACAAAGACCTTGGCAATAAAACAATCGAGGAATACTTTATAAACGTTTCTTTAACATATTAAAAAAAATTCCAAAATCCATTGATAATCGGCTTACATATCCCTTCACTTCCTGAAAATCCTCGCAGTAGACATAAAAGAAAATGGTGTCGTGATCTTTTAACTTAAGCCTCTATAATGTACCAATCCTAAGCTAAATGTCACTAATGGTAGGCTCCTTAGTCCCGCATCCCCAATAATGTTTTTATTCCCTACTTAACGTATACACTTGTTGTGTTTCTTGTATAAATTGTATATTCTTATTAAAATAAAAAAAAAAACATTTGAAGACGATTTTTGGCCACAAGTGAGTAACCCAACAAGTCATACAAATCTGAGTCCGAACAAAACCCGCGTATAACCTAAGTGGTCGCATCAGTCGGTTGCAGTCACAGGTCACTATCGGAACGAGGCGTGTTTGCCGGCGGCTCGAGTTTTTTTTAACCACTGGAAATATACTTATTATTATTATTATTATTATTATTATTATTATTATTATTATTATTAAGCACTTACGACTATAATGACAAATTAATAAATAAATCATGTCAATGTACACGGATGCCATATAATCTGCACTATACCATATTTACATGACGTCCTACGCGACGACGGACGAGATATAATAATTATTGTAATATGTCATTTTTTTTTGTAATGGAAAACGTGTTTAACGATTTTTAAATTTATACTATTACTGTACACATTTCAAGCGTTCGTTTCAAACCATTTTCGTGTTCAGAAGTTATATATTTTTCGGTTTAGTCTGCGTATATTCATATATGACACGAAATGGCCAACTTTGTGTTTGTAACGTAAAGGACATTAATTAAAACAACTTTATTTAAAATGAAAAACTAGTCTTTCTCCTAAAAACCTTTGAAAGTAGCCGTGAAATAGTAATTATTTTTATGTACGAACGGCCATATTGTATGCATTAATAATTCATTAATGATTTGAAATTCAACCATACACTCCCGTTTCACTGTTACTGGAATTTTTAATAACAGTCACGTGTTGCAATTTCATTTTCATAATTCTTTGAATAGTTTGAACGCATTATGTTACTCTAACTTTTGGCGTGGAGACTTTTATGCAATGATTATTCAAATACACACACTAAATACTGAATTTTTTAAGTAATAATTGTTTACAAATCGCTTAGTATTGTTAATTTGCCATTCGTATAAAAATAAAAAATAAATGCACAACATACAAAAAATCATATAAAACAAACGAATTTAAGATGACGTAAAGTGTATAATGTATATGAATATGATACCTATGATATTTATTACGAAACAACATCAGTATAATAAGCCTAAAAAATAGATTTATTAGAATTTGTATATTATGTAGGTATACAAAATAATAAATAAAAATAAATATTACAAACTAAAAGAAGAAGAAGAAGAAGAAGAAGAGTATATTATATACTTGTATAGGTAGAATACCAAGAAATAACTATATATTAACCAAGTGTCAAAGGAGGCTTAATATTTATTTTGTGATATGACAGATAATTATAAATCGATGTTATTTATTATTTGTATATTTTTCAATTTAATGCATATTTAAAAAAAAAAGGAATATTTATTTTTATCAATATTGGTCGAATTTTATGAATCGTAAGACGGTTTTATATTTTAAATTTCCTTGATTTAATTAATTGTATTTAGATCTATTTAAAATTGTACAAGGCAGGTGGTCATTCTAGAATTTAATTTAAACTATTTTTAAATAATGTATCCACTATTGTATTTTTCAGATGCACGTGCAGATGAGCTAATATTGAGGTCCACTTTGTTTATTTAAAATCACAATTTAGTGTTTTTCGGTCAATGTGTATTATCTTCTTTTTTTTCAAAAACTGCTCAAAAGGATCAAGAAGTCTCGAGTGAGAACAGTATCCAGAAAATTGGTTTAGTGGCCCTGAATTTTTTTTCTCTAATTTTTGTTATGATTACGATAGTATCACTTATCACTTTATGGCCTCCTTGTTCATAAACAGCTAACA